GGGGTTGGTAATGGCACAAAATGTAGGTCTTTCCTTCAACTCAAGGGATAGGATTAGCATTTTTAAAGGGGTAATGTTAATGCAGGGAAGAGAAAGGATCCTGGCATGACTTCTCTAGCTCCCTCCCCTCCCTGTCTCTAGCAGAGCTGCGCCAGGATCAGCAGCTAGGGCCTTTCCTTTCAGAACTAGGAAGGCAGTTGCCAGCTGCAGAAGGTCTTGGTTTTGTTCCACAGACCTTATCTCCTAATGAAAAGGCTCTTGTTCCCCGAGAACTCAGTGGTCCCCAGGGGCTACAACTTTCTCCTTTGCCTTTGAAAACCTGAGTTCAAAGCTAGGCTTAGTGGTTTGTCTGTAATCTCAACACTAGGGAGGCCGAGGCAGGAGGGTAGCTGTTCAAGTTCAATGCAAGCCTGGACATTTTGAGTTCCAGGCTAGCCTGGGCTACATTGTGAGACCTTGCCTTAAAACACAAAAGAAGAAACTCCAGGTTCAAATGTTCTCCATGAAGGAGAACTCAAGATCAACACTCTTCCAGGGAAGCCCCAGGGCCTGGGAGGCAGACCACATGTCCTTACTTCTTTTGGGATGGGATAGGTTCTCATGTAGCTCAGGCTGGCTTCCAACTCAGTAAGTAGCCAAGAATGGCCTTGAGTCCTGGAATTAGAGGAATACAGTACCACATCTGGTTTATGTGGTGTTGGGGAATGAAGGGCTTTGTGCGTGGTAGGCAAGGACTTTACCAACGGAGCTGCACCCCTAGCCCCACAGCCTTAACTTGAAAAAGAAAACTACAATGAAAGGAACATGTACCTTTTTTTTTTTAGATGTTTATTATAGATTCAAATTTAAAAAAAAAAAATACCCGTTTGTTTTCTCTTTAAGGGTCCTGGCACCAGCTTTCAGTTTTAGTGTGAGGTGGGCAGCGTTCTTGGCACTGCCCCATGCAGAGACAAGTCAAGTGGACTTCCCCTTCCGCCAGCAGGAAGGGAGAATTTTCCTCCACCACCTAGCACGCAGCCAGAGGCCCACTGTAGCCCTACAGCACTGCAGAAGCGTCTGAGCCCATTTACAGTGGCAATTGTAGACACTAATAGGGAAGGCCACTGTTGATGAGACCCGGAGAAGCCAGGAAGCCCCTTCCCAGTTTCTGTGGCAGATGAGTGTGGGACTGAGGTTTATAATGGCTTCACCTCCCCACCCACCCCAGGGGCTTTTCTCTCTCTCCTGTGAGCCAGGGTCTTGTTCTGTAACCCTGACTGACCTGGAATTCACTGCTTGCCTTGAACTTAAAGTAATCCTCCTACCTTAGCCACTGTTGGGGTTACAGGCATGAGCTACCATGTCCAGCCTTTTCATTTCTTGAGTGTCAGCAAATCTTAAACCATGGCCTTTTCTGTTTTCTAAATATTGACCCAAAGTACCTTTTAGCTTTTGTGCCACTCACAAAATGTACAAGAACTCACTCTCTTTACTGTTTCTGGTTGTTTGGTTGATTCTGTTTTTTTCCAATGTTGGGGGTCAACACAAGGCCTGATGTCTGTAGACAGGTGCTTACCACTGAGCTACCCCACTCCAGCCTTAACCGCCTCTCTTCTGCCATGTAGGTGAGGACCAACCCTTCCTTGCTTTGAAGCAGTACCATAGCCATCAGCCACAGCTCCCATTCACTTGAGGGTTATCTAGCAGGAAACCAAGGTTGACTCAGACACTAGATCTTCCTTAGAAGGGGGCGAGTTCAAATTGTAACCCCCTCACTGGTTAGGCAATGTAAGGCAGCTTACACTGAAAAACGGAGAGGTTTCAGCGGCTTGCTTGAAGGATTAAAATTTAAAAGTACCACTCCAAGGCCACATGGGTTCCCAATGTGTATTTCTTTTTCTCCATTCAAAAAGGGTGAGACATGAGCATTTAGTCCCTTCTTTCCAGAGAGGCTCCATGCTTGCCTAATTTACCAACCTTTTAATATTTATTACTTTAAACTTATATGTGTGTGGTGCCCACAGAGGCCAGAGGTATTAGATCCCTCTGGAGATGGAGTTACAGGAGGTTGTGAGCTGCCTTAAGTATATGCTGGGAACTGAACTCGGGTCTTCTGCAAGAGCAGTATTATGTGCTCTTGACCACTGACTGAGCCATCTCTCCAGCCCTTCAAACTTACATTAAAAAGAAACAGAAAATGTTCCAAAGTATTGGTAGTGGGATTATTTTGCATATTACAGGAGAATGTTAGCACAATGTGATTTAGGAGTGTTCCAGTTCTGGCTGACTGAAAAACAGACCAGGAGGCTGTGGCTGTGGAACCTTGGGAGCTGGGTCAGTCTCCTGGGAAGCAGGTCTAATTCAGACTGCTCACTAGGGGCCATACTTTGTGCTGCTGCTGCTTTGCCTTTAGGCAGTAGCACTAATAGAAAAGAAACCTTCACCCCCGCCCCCTAAAGAAAGGGAAGGTAGAGCTAGTGTCAGACTCCTTCGGAGCCCGTTTTGGTGGCCCCAGAAGAACAGGGCAGCTTTTGTGCTATGTTTGAGCTTAGAGCTTGGAAACAGAGCCCCACAGCAACCTGGGTTCTAGTCCTCTGTCTGGAAAGTTGAGGAAGCGACCTCAGAAACAGAGTCCACCTATGTAAAGCCAAGGCTGTGAACCACTGTCCGAGGACTCACAGGTCTGTCCCCCAGCCAGCGCACGCCATACTGCCGATTGTCTACTCAGGGGAACTGTGCTAAAATGGTTGGTATTCATTTATCCACCCTGAATTCAGCCTAGACCCTCACCAGTGGCTGAGGGGCCAGCCTGGGCACTGGAAATCCTTAAAATGCAAATGTACCAGAACTTCTGGCCTGGCTCCCTACTCCCCAGGAAAGTGCCTGCATGCAGCCAGGCCTGGAGGGGAATGCTAAAGAGGAGCAATGCTGCCCCCTTTCCGCTGGACCTGCACACACAGATCAGCACGCATGACTGGGCCAGCCCGCTCCGCTTTCAACTTACCCCGAACAATGGCTGGGCTCCCTCCATCCCTCACAGTGCTCCCAGGGAAGGACACCCATCCTATTTGCCCACTTCCAGAGCTCACGACCCATTTCTTCAGGATTAGTCTTGGATCTCACTTCCACCATCACCCCCCATAAAAAGAAACTGGTCATTCTGGGAAACTGACTCTCCCAGGCCTGGCTTCTTAAAAAAAAAAGTTCCATTTTGTTCACTTTTAGTTTCCATGTTGACAATTTAGAACCAAAAACTATTGAAATTTCCAGTCTGGCAACAGTTCTAGAAACAGAACATTTGGATGTCAGTGGTGCATCTTACACAGAAGAAATTCTCAACCATGAACTAATCCCACATGAACAAACTGAACTCTGTACCTTACTTCCGTTTAGGGTGTACATGTAACACCTCCCACTTTAGCAGACCCAACACACAATGCCTTAAAAATAATTCACAGATACAAGGGGGGATTTGTGCTTTTTTTTTCAAAAACATACTTCATATTTCCTCTTTTATTATATAAATATCAGTTTAACCTTTTACTGTAAGAATATAAACGTTTTAAGAGGATCTTTGTTATCATTTATACAAATTCACAAACAGTACAATTAATTGATAAAGGTCTCTGGGTTTCTCCATGGTCTCTCATGTTGCTGTGGAGGACTCTAAAAAAATAAACAAACAAAATATCCAACAAAAATATACATCCTACTCAAAAGCGATTTTTTTAAGCCACAGTCCCAACCCCCCACCAAAATAAAGCCATCTATTCCTCCATTTAGAACAAAAGCTTTTCAGACCCACAAGCTCCCATTTTATGAACAGAACAGATAAGACGTGAAGTTCAGTCTCCTCCCTTTCACATTACAGCCCCAGGCTCTCTGCAGGCCAAAGCTGAGCTCTACTCCCGACAGGAAGCCTCACCATGTAACCTTTTTGTGGGAAAACTTGGAAGAGGGTTAGGGTGGGGCATAATTTGCATATATAATACTCCTCTTCAAGACTCAATCTGCATCTCAAGAAACAAAAAGGCAGTTCTGCTCTCTTTTCTCCTATACATTTGTGCTATAAATTAAATCAAGATTTAGAAGCATGGTTGGCTCTTCAGAGCCCAACAGACTAGGGGAAAAAGAAAAATCATATCCAGCATAGGGAGTGGGACACACTGGGTAGATGGAAGCTGGGAAGAAGCCAAAACAAAACAGACAGACAAACCCAGTGGGCACCTTTCCAGTCCAGGCACAAAAATGTTTCAGTCTCAAAATATCTCTCTTGTAGAATTCCAGGGTTTAAGAGAAAAAAGTAAACTAAAACGAGGTAGCCAGACATATATATATATATAACTTATATATATATATATAATATATAGAATATACTCAGCAGAAAAAAAAGGGGGGGACAATGATTTTCGATTTCTTTGAAAACTAAAAGGAAAGCAGAGAAGAAGGAAGTGAGTCGCAGAACCGAAGGAGCAGTGTTGAGACTGGAGACTGGTTCACAAAGTGGATGAAAAGGCTGTTGGAGTCGGGCTTGCTTTCTACACATTTCGAAATAAAAACCAGATCACAGTATCCAAATGAAGTGTAAGCGAAGGCAGACATCTTTCCTCAACTCCTCGGGGTTGAAACGCCTAGTCCCTCCCCGCCCCCACCCCATTTCCAAATGCAGTGCCTCGGGATACAGTTGGCGGTGGCTGAATCAGTCTCCATACCCTGCAGAAGAGTGGGCAGAGAAGCAGCAGCGTCCATCTCTCCACCCACTGGGAGAGGAGAGGAGAGTGGGGAGAGGGAGCGGAAGAACCCCAGACGCAGTGGGGAGGGGCGCCGGACTAGGAGAAAAGAGCCCAGGCTTCGCGTCACGGCCCCCCCGCGGCCACTGCCATGGACGTGTAAGTGCGCGCGTGAGTGTGCGGGAACAGTGGTGGTCGTGGGATGAACAGGGCGGGGCAGGGGACCTGGAACTGCCGCCCTCACCTGACCTTCTCACTGTCCGTCATCTGCCAGAGTCCCAGGTTAAGTACCTTGAGGCAGGGCAACTGCGTGATGCGCTCCAGGCCGCGCTTGGTGATCCTGGTGCAGCCATACAGGTCTATGCCCGTGAGCTGGCTCAGGTGCTCAGCGATCAGCTCCAGTCCCTTGTCCGTGATGCGCACACACTGTCCAATGTTGAGCGTGCGTAGCCCGTGCATCTGCCGCACCATGCGGTTGATGCCATCGTCACTGATATGGCAAGAGCAAAGGGAGAGGGACTTGAGGCCGTCCAGTCCCTGGGCTATGTAAGCTAGACTCTGGTCTCCCACCTTGTCACAAAAAGACACATCCAGACCGGAGAGGCGCAGGCTGCCCATGGCCAGATGCATGATGCCGGTGTCGCTGATGTTGTCGCAGGAGCGCAGGTTAAGGCTGCGCAGGCTGCCCATGTGCGACAGGTGCAGAAGGCCCGCGTCCGAGATGCCGCCACAGAAGCTGAGGTTGAGGAGCCGGAGGCCCGTCAGCCCTCGCGAGATGTGCTTCAGAGAGAGATCCGTGAGTTTCTGGCAGTCCTGAAGAGTGAGCTGCTCCAGGCCCAGGCAGCCCTCGGCAGCACTGCGCGTCATGCCGGCCAGGTGCCCGATGCCCACGTCCGAGAGGTGGCGGCAGCTGCGGAGGTTAAGGCTCTTGAGGCGCTGCAGCCCCCAGGCGATGAGCAGAAGGCCGGTGTTGGTGATGTTGCTGCAGCCCCCCAGCTCCAGCACCTCCAGGCCCTTGAGGTACTGGGCTATGCGGCCCAGGCTGCTGTCGGTGATCTGCTTGCAGAGGCTCAAGTTCAGAGCCCGCAGCGAGCCGATCTCCTGCACGAACGCGTGGCCCAGGCCGTTGTCGGTGAGGTTGTAGCAGCCGCTGAGGTTGAGGCTCTCGATGTTCGCCATGCCCTGGATCACGTAGCTGAGGCTGCGGCGGAGGCTGAGGATCTGCACGCGGCGGATGCCCCGGGCCTGCAGGCTGGGGAACAGCGACGGGTTCGCCCGGCGCAGGTGCAGCTTGGCCTCCACGCCCCGCCACACCGACTTGTGGTAGGCGGCGTCCCGCCAGGCCGTGCACACCTGCGCCGCGCGACCCTTGTCTCGGACGTCCAGGTAGCCGAAGATCATGGCCAGAAGCTCCGGGAACAGGCACGAGATGTGGGTCTCCATCTTCCTCCCGCCGCTACGCCGCGCCGGGTGCAGGAGGCGCGGACGCCGCCGCCGCCGCCGCCGCCGCCGCCCCGGGAGGCGCCGAGAGCGGGCCGCCGCGGGCCAACGGCCGCCCCTCCCCGCCTTCCGGCCGGGCCGCCGCTCCTCCTCCCGGCGCGTCCGAGCGGCGCTTCCTTCCTGCCGCCCTTCCCGCCCCCGCGCGGCCGCTCGGGCCTCACATCCCGGCCGGGGCGGGCGCCGCGTTCGCGCCCGCGCGCCGCCGCCGCCCCGCGCCCTGCGGCATCCCGCGCCGGGCCGCGTCGCTGCTGCGCGCGCCGGCGAGGCCCGGGCCGGGCGCTCGGGCTACGGACGGCTTCCTGCTGCCTTTGTCTGCCGTCCGCAGTTCAAACCGCCCAGCCCCGGGCTGCCCGCACTCGGCCGCCGCGCGGGGGGGACTCCGAGCCCGTGGCGCGCCGCTCTTCCTCCGCCTAGGCCGGGCGGGTCCGGCTCACGGCCGCGGGCAGCGGGACGCGGCGAACTCACCGGGCTCAGCGGGCCCGCACCCCAGGAGTCGGCCGGCCGCGCTGCGCCCTCCGCGTCCTCCGCGCCGGCTCCCCCGCGCAGTGGTACGTGCCCGCGCCGCCGGAACTGGCGGAGCCGTTTCCCTGGAAACCGGGCTCTGCCCTCGGCCGCGGACGCTTAACCCCATCCGCGCCGGGATGGCCGGCAGCCCCGCCGCACCGTGCAGACCCTGCGAGAGCCGGGTAGCCCACGGCCGCCCCCCTCGGTATCCACGCTTACTCCACGCCCTCTCCCGCCCGCGGGCTCCATCGCCACTTTCCTGCTTTACTTCCCGCAGCGCCTTTTAACCGTCTCACCACACCCACTGCCCCAATCGGGCGGCCATCCCACCCTCCCTTTCTCTCCGGTATTGAGTCTTAAGTTGGAGGAGACACTGGGTTTGACAGTCCTCAGTCCTCGTTGTAGAAATTTCTGGAGTTGTCCAGGGTGCCTCCCTCCTACAATCTGGTTGTTTCCCTACACCCATGTGAGTTCCTGTCCCTTTCAACTTTATGTGTCTAAACTTGCCACCCCTTCTGCCCTCTGCCTTCCTGCCTAACCTGCACCTGGTTTTGTCTTTTAGATACAGATTGCATGGCCCAACTGTAGGAATACTTAATACGTTCTATTTGCTGACACACATACACGGTTTGGCTTGATTGAAGACACTCCAGCCTTATGCTTTATATGTGTTTTATGAAACTGGGGCAGAGCTCAATTCTACAATGTAGCCTCGGGTCTTAAATGCCCTCGTGAAGGATAGGATTTCAGAATTTTATTTTTACTACCCCTGAGCCAAGAGAAAAGGATCCTGTTCAGAGAAAAGGACCCCATGGGTTGTTATTTAAGTTACAAATTCACACATCTAGATACAAAACAATCTGACTCATTTGTTTCCTTGACTTTTTGGGAACCTGAAAAAGACTTTTTTAAATTTTATTTTATTACATTATATTTGTTTATGGGGATGTGGACTTGTTCTACAGACAGTGTATAGAGGTCAGAGGACAACTTGAGCGAGTCGGTTCTCTCTACCATGTGGATCGAACTCAGGTCATGAGGCTTGGTGGTAGTGACCTTTCTAGCTGACATCAATCTCTGAACAAGATATTAGATGTGTTCCAAATTCAGAAGAGGATCTCCTAAGCTTTTAGGCACTCCTCTTTTCCCTGAGTAACAGATACTTGTTAGACCCAAGTACACACAGGAGTACTAATAGGCCTAATAGAAAGTAGATCCCACCCAGTCTTTTAATCAGGAAATGCAGAGTCTAAAGCTCATGCAGCCTTGTTACCTCCAGTTTCAAATACTGTGAGGCCCATTGACTTTTATAACCTTCCTGAATAATAGACTACATTGTCACCAAATAATTCTTGATGTACAGTTGTACAGTGTAACACTTCTGGCTGTACCTCAGTTTGTACTCATCACCTGGGGTCATCTGGGTTACTTTCTGTTTAAAGGTGGTGGGGGGGCACACAGGGGACCAGGACGCAATGGAGGACAACCCAGGAAGGGATTTCCCCCTTACCGTGTGGGTCCTGGGGATGGATCCCAGGCCGCCAGGCTTAGCAGTAAGCACCTTTCCTGCTGAAATGTCTCTCCAGCCCAAGCAGATTTTTATTACGTTTTATTCAGTGTGTGTGTGTGTGTGCACACTCATGTGCATGTATTTGCACACACGAGTTTGTCCCATGACGGCACGTGGAGGTCAGAGAACCATTTTTTGAGAGTTCACTCTTCTACCATGTGGGTCCCAGGAACCGAACTCGGGTCCTCAGACTTGAAAGCAAGTGTCTTTACCCAAGGAGTCATCTTGCCTGCCCTGAAAGTCACATTTTTAAAAATTTATACACACACACACTCTTTTTTTTTCCCCTTTTCTTTTTCCTTTCCTGGCTGTCCTGGAACTCACTATGTAGCCAGAGTTGGCCCAGAAATAGTGGCAGCCTTACTATCTCATCTTTCTTTCTTTCTTTCTTTTTTTTTTTTTTTTTTTTTTTTGGTTTTTCGAGACAGGGTTTCTCTGTGTAGCTTTGCGCCTTTCCTGGGACTCACTTGGTAGCCCAGGCTGGCCTCGAACTCACAGAGATCCGCCTGGCTCTGCCTCCCGAGTGCTGGGATTAAAGGCGTGCGCCACCACCACCCGGCTTTTTTTGGTTTTTTAAGACAGGGTTTCTCCGTGTAATTTTGGTTCCTGTCCTGGATCTCGCTCTGTAGCCCAGGCTGGCCTCGAACTCACAGAGATCTGCCTGACTCTGCCTCCCGAGTGCTGGGATTAAAGGTGTGCGCCACCGCCTCCCGGCCTACCACACCTTTCTAAATGCTGAAATTATAGGTGTGAGTCACCTTATCTAGCTACCTTAGTTGTCCTTCACGCCACGAGTGCCAGGCCTAGCCTATACAGTATGAACTTGGAGGGTTTTCCGTATCTGGAAAGATCATTCTCAGTGGTGCACACTTTTGATCCCAGCACTGGTCAGGCAGGTCTCTGTAAATTCAAGGCCAGCCTGATCTATAGAGCTAGGTCCAGGACAGCCAGAGCTACAGCCTGTCTCTAGAAAAAAGAAAAAAAGAAAGATCATTCTCCTCAGAAAGTCATCCAATGGCACCTCTAAAAAGCTGAACACCTGTTTTACTTCTAGCAAAACTTTGAGTTAAATACTAGAATTTTTACTAATATCCATCCAGCTTTTCACTGAAGGTGTTCCGTTATAAATTACACCAAGTTTCAGCTGTGTGATTATCACATTCATTAGCAGCAAGAAGCATTTCAGGAAATAAACTCCAATAGAGAAGAAGTGTGGCACCAAATGAGCCTGTGCTGAGTCACCGGTGGCTATTTTGGCACTGTGAAAATGACCTCCCTTTCTGGGCCTCAGTTTCTTTATCTAACAATATATAGTGTTTGGCCCGGAAGTCTTCAGGCCTCAACTTATACCTCCATCAGACTGGCCTGTAGGCAAGTCTGTGGGCCATTTTCTTGATTATTGATCGATGTGGGAAAGCCCAGCCACTGTGGGGCAATGCCACCCCTGAGCAGGTGACCCTGGGAGGTATAAGAAAGGTCATTGAACAATAGTCTGAGTCATGTAAGGAACATTCCTCCTCTGCTTTAGTTTCTGCCTCCAGGTTCCTGCCTTGACTTCCCTGAAGAACAGACTGTTATAATCCTGATTTCTGTAACTGGTCACATGGCCTTGGCTGGTATTTATAAGTACCTTCCTTTACTCCCCATTCTGTATTTTCTTCCCTCAGCAAGCACTTCAGTAGGTCCTGGAGGGGTGACACACGTATTCATTCCAAAGGGTCTGGGTCATTCGCCACCCGGCCTGGATTGAATTGTAGTTTCCCATTGACCTTAATCACAAGATATAGTAACACCAAGACATGCCCTAAACACACCAGTTCTCAAACTTGTGGGTCGTGACCCCTTTGGGGGTCTCAGATCAGATATTTCCATTATTATTCATAATGTAGCAAAACTATAGTTATGAAGTAGCAACAAAATAATTTTATGGTTGGGAGTCACCACAACATGAACTGTATTAAAGGGCCGCAGCATTAGGAAGGTTGAAAACCACTGTATTAAAGGATCTCCTTCTACACTCCAGACATAATCTTCCTTATCTTCTTTGTGGAGTAGCAATCCAGTTTACCCCCACCCCACCCCCACCCCGTAGTCAGGATCAGTCACCCCTCCTAACACTGTTATTCCTATTTCAGCCTGTTGGATTAAGGTCATCAGAAACCATCATAAGCAGAGGGGAATCTTAGCTTCCAGCCCAATGCAATGTTGTGTCTTCTAGCAGGAGCATTCTCCATTCTGGAACAGTATAACTTCTAGGCCAGCAGGGTATAAGGTCCTGCCAACAGGAAACAAACGTTTTCTTAGTGGGCCACTAGGAGTGATAGTGAGTGCAATCATTCTCTTCCTCCCTAGACCTGCGGTCCCGCGGTTAAAGGAAAAAACCGGTTAAAGGAAAAAACAGCACCGTATATTGGATGCCGACTCAAAGCATGTATAGCCTGATGGAGAACTCTGCCCCAGCCCTCCAAGGTACTGCCATCCAATTGGCCCTGCAGCTGTGTATTTAAAAAGCTATTCCACTGTTCGGTCAAGCCAGCGGCTTCTGTATGTGGCAACCATATAAGAACGGTGAATCCCATGTATATGGGCCCCGTTCTGTGGCTGTGAAGTGAGTTTCAGAAGCACTGCTGTGTGCAGTACCATGATGGTGGATAAAGCATCCTGCAAGTCCAAGTATGGTAGTTTTGGCAGAAGCATTACCTGCAGGAAAGACCAATTATGACCAAAATAAGTGACTAATCCAGTAAGAACAACATACTGTCACTTACATGATGGACATGGTTGCTGGCTCATCACTCTGAGAGTGCTGCTACCTCGGGGGCTCAGTATCGGTCTCTGCAGCTTGCACATTTGGCACTCAGGCAGTTCATCCAGGTCAGCCTTGGACCACAGCTGTATCAGCAGCGTCCGTGGGATGCCTGTAGGGAACCACTTTCATGAGCAGTTGTTCCTGAGGACAGTGAACCCTTCCCGTTCTGCTCTCTTCCTCGAAATGAATTTGAATCTTTATGAGATGGAGCCTCCTCTGAGGGCAGGGTTTTGCCCTCAGGATACGTTTCCATCCTCTCAGTGCAGTGCAGGAATTTCATGTCAGAGGTGCTGATCTCTCTATTAATTACAGCAGCCTTTTAGCACTGGCTGAGAAGTGCTCCCACCCTGATATTTCCTCGGCCAAACCCGCCCATTTTCTTTAAATCCAACTTTAGGGCCTGGGAAGAGTGAAGCCTCTCCCCAGTTCCCGACAGTCCTTGCTTCCGGAACCTCTGGAGCTGAGCCTCCACGGCCTGCATTTCTTTCTGCATTACTGACTTCCAGGCTTCCTTCCCCTAGAGTGGCCCATTATCCAGCCTTCAGCAGCTTTTCTCGCCCAACATACCAAACCCTTCCGCATTCCTCCCAGAAGCCACAGGCAGGTTTATCACAGCAAAGGCACCACCTCTCTGATGTCCTGACTTCATTTCTATTGCTGTGACAAAATACCCCAACATGCCGGGCAGTGGTGGCACAGGCCTTTAATCCAGCACTCGGGAGGCAGAGGCAGGAGGATCTCTGTGAGTTCAAGGCCAGCCTGGTCTACAGAGTGATTTCCAGGAAAGGCACAAAGCTACACAGAGAAACCCTGTCTTGAAAAAAAAAAAAAAGAAAGAAAGAAAAAATAAAACAAGGCAGGAAGGAAAGCAGGAAGGAAGAACCCTGACAAAAAGCAACTTGGGAGAGAAAAGGTTTATTTTAGCTCCTGATTCCGGTTACAGCCCATCATTGAAGGGAAGTCAGGCAGGAACCGGAAGTAACCATTCACATCCATAATCGAGAGCAGATAGACAAGGAATGTTAGCATGTTTAGTGCTGAGCTCACATTCTCTATTCTTCTACAGTCCGGGGCCCCAAACCAGGGAGTGGCACCACCCACTTTCAGGCTGAGTCCTCCCAAAATTAATGCAATCAAGACAATCCCTTACAGACATGCCCACTGGCCAACCCTATGTAAACCAACCCTTATTAAGACTCACTAGGTTATGGCACACTAACAATTGAAACTAACCATCATAATGCCTATCTGGAGTTTCAGTTCTACCACGTAGAAAAGCTCTAGAGCCTGGGAGTGGTGGTGTGTGCCTTTAATCTCAGCACTCCAGAGGCAGAGGTAGGCAGATCTTGGTGAGTTCCAGAACAAGCTGTTCTACAGAGTGAGTTCCAGGACAGCTAGGACCTCATAGTTGTGTGTGTGTGTGTGTGTGTGTGTGTGTGTGTGTGTGTGTGTGTGTGTGTGTACCATGTACCATGTGTGCAGGAGCCCACAAAAGTCAGAAGACATGTTGGAATGCCTAGAACTGGAGCTTTAATCACTTGTGAGCTGCCATGTGGATGCTGGGAACTGAACCCAGGTCCTCTACAAGAACAAGTGCTCTTAACGACTAAGCCATCCCTCCAGGCCCCAAGACCTATCTCTTTAAAAACAAAAAATGTTGGGGCTGGAGAGATGGCCCAGTGGATAAGAGCACTGGCTGCTCTTCCAGAGGACCCAGGTTCAATTCCCAGGACCCACATGGCAGCTCACAACTGTCTGTAACTCCAGTTCCAGAGGATCTGATGCTAATGCACATAAAAAAAGTTAAATAAAATTTAAAAAATGTTACATTAAGTTTACTGCCTACCTTTTCTGTTTGTCTGATTTTTTGAGACAGATTTTCTCTGTGTAGCCCTGGCTGTCCTAGAACTCACTCTGGCCTTGAACTCAGAGATTGGACTGCCTCTGCCTCCCGAGTGCTGGGATTAAAGACATGCTCCATCACCACGACCCAGCTGCTGTCTTTTGTTAATGTACCATGAATAAATAAAATCTCCCACAGACATGGGTTGTACAGATATACCTTGGCTGGTTGTTAAATCTTTCTTAGATTTTGTTTTCTGTTTTTAAAGAAATATAGAGGTTAGAGGAACAGAAACACAGCAAAGTACAGAGCTGAGATCCAAGGGAGCAGCTGCTCGTACCTGGGCTTGGCTTTGAGCAAAAGTGGCCTATTCCATTGACCCAAAAGGACAGTGAGGAAGCCTCCCCTCTGAGGGATAGCCAGGGTCTGTGGCTTTGACTCAGGTTTCGCCTCCCCTCCTGCAGCCTTTCTGTTCTTATGCTCTGTCCTGTCTCCAAGATCTAACTCCTGATATCTGGATGGAGCAGGGATAGCTTCCCTAACCTGTGGCCCCCAGCAGGAGAGCTCTGTTATCTAGCAGCGGCTTTTGTTTTAAAAGATATGTCAAGGGCTGGGGAAATGGCCCAGTGGCTATGAGTATTTACTGCTCTTGCAGAGGACATGGGTTTGGTTCCTATCACCTACATGGTGGCTCATAACCTCTTATAACTCCAGTTCTGGAGGATCCCACACTATCCAGCCCTTGGGCACCTGCACACATGTGGTGCACATAAACTCACATACACACACACACACACACACACACACACACACACACACACAAAATTCTTTTCAAAGGTTTGCTAAATTGCATTTGCTTGATAGAGTATGTGTTTAGTGCGCAGGGGTCCTGGAATCTTTAAAGGCTTGCCCCTTTTGGCAAAATGAAAATAATATAGAAAGGGCCTATAGCCCCCTTCTCTTCCACCTTTATCTTACAGACCGTGTTCCCTTTGGTACCAACCAGGTGGCAGAAGAGAACACAGATTTTGTAGGCACAGGCACAGAACACACTCACCACGGGGAGCCTATCTTCCCTCCCAAGTTGGCCAAATGTTTTCCATAGTTGAGTTTATGAGGGCCAGGCAGCTTGAACACATACAACTCCAGACCCAGATGCAAACAGTCAGTGCTTACTGAGCAGGAGCTGTGGAGCGGGTGCTGTTCTAAGGTCGGCTCATAGACGAGCCTTCCATCTGGTCGCCACAGCAGCTGGTCTTCATTCCCAACCCACGAAGATGGTTACCAGCAAGGAAACCACTGCACTGAGAGTCGGACAGCTGGCAGAACCGATTCTTGTTGTTTTGAATTGGGTCTCTGTAGTGCAGGTTGGCCTTTAAACCATGATCCTCCTACCTCATTTTCCTGAGTGCTGGAGTTTGAACTCTCCAGACCAATCCACCATGCTTTGCCTGTTGTGATGCAGTTAGTATGTGATGCCATGTGCACCCGCTGTTGGCAGTGAGTGAGATAATGGGTCAGTGTGTGTGTGTGTAGGTGTTGTATGCCCTCTGGGGAGATAAGCTGATACAGTTTTTATTCCTTCAGGCCTATACCTAGCTCTGGCTTTGAATAAAAGACCTTGAATTGCTTGTGTGTAATTCTGTCACCCTCTAGTGGTCACATCTCTCTTAACCCTGGACCCATGAAACGGCCCCATTTCTGCCTCCACCTGCTAGAACTCAGGGCCTCACACCAGCTGAGCAGTCTTGTCCCCAGTGAGCCCTGGAGATGCCCATTCTTACCAAGCGCATCTTCGTCTTTGTGTGTTGGGATGGTTACTGCATCCAGGGCCACATGCGGGCCACCAAGGCTGAGAGCAAGGCAAGAGTGGAGAAGAGCGAAGAAGCATTTCCAACCAGTTTCAGTTCTGCGTTCCCAGGGAAGGGCCAGGGCAACTCGACTCAACCTTGGAGTTGAACGGTAGCTTAGCCAGACATCTGACCCTGCCACTTCTCTCTCAGGCCTTGTTCTCTCTGCTCTAAAGGTCATTTGTATGGGGCTCCCCTGAGATTATCAGATCCTGATAAATATTTAAGAAGGCTGGAGGGGGAAGGGAGGGTCAGCTCAGCCTGTCTGGAGCCTGGCTGAGCTAGCCTGAATGTGGCTGCTCTGGGTTCTGGACACCGAGAGTCTTCCTGGAAAGCCCTGTGTGGGTGAGCCAGGTACTTGGTGTCCCTTACATAATGTCATATCCACAGGAGTCTTAGAAATCAGCCTTGTTGGGGAGTTCACATCCAGGTCCCCTTCTCTGCCAGGAGAGGGTTCAAGGTCTAACAAAAGTCAGACTCTGGAGGGGTAAGAAAGGCTTCCCTTCATTCCACATGCCAGGGGAGACGGTGTGGAGGTCAAACCATGTGTTTCTTGATAGCATGTGCTACTGTGGCTCCCAAGAGGTCAGCGATTCTCATAATTCGGTGTGAAATTTCTGCCCGGATTTTTCTAATGTTGACACAATTTTGGAATTACAATTTGGTGAGTTTCTTGTTTGCTGTTTACCTTTCATGATTTTTTTTTTTTTAATTTTTGGAGGGGGCGGTCTCATTGTGTAGTCTAGGGCATCCTGGCACTAGCTCTCCATCCTCATCTGCCTCCCTGGTGCCAGGATTATAGATGTGTTTGGCCTTTTATTTTAAACTTTCTTAAAGGCAGAGAGTTGAGCAATTTACTCAAGTATGGATGCTACTATTGTAACCGTTAACAGGTCCTTATTGTTTTTGTAGTTTGGATACTGTTGTTTGGTGTAGTTTTGGTAGAACCCAAGGCTGCCTGTGTGTT